CCACGGTATAGGAAATGGTGGGTATGGTGGGCAATGAAGACTTTTGCCCTGCGAAAAAGAAAAACAATGAAAATCATTAATAAAACTTGTATACAAATAGGCACAGTCACATTCGCGCTTAATTTCAGTTGTTGTTTACTTGGTGGAATGCTGACGATGGGTGGCTTCGGCTGCTGCTCAAACACCTCAAATGCCGCGCTATCGGGACGCAGGTGCGAGTACACGACACCGGTGGGCGGCGTTTGTTGCCGGAACAGGTAGATAACGACAAACTCATTGCTCGGCAGGTGCCAATATATTTCAACCATTTCCAGCATCGCCAGTTAATTATTTTTCTACTTTTGCGCATCAATTTGCTAGTGATGGGATCTCTGACGTTCCTGACTGGTCACACCTACAGTTGCGCGAACTGTTGCTGCGTTTTGGGCATTTTCAAACGAAATTTTGTTCTTTTGATGTGTTTAATTCACTTGAAAAGTTATATCCTTGGAAGTTGTCGGAGGAAGACGGAAACTCGGATTCTGGGGCACTATTAGTGATCGGCCATTAAAAACAACAGACCTTCCCGACCCGTGCGAAAATAAAACTAACACATTTCCAGGGACTACCACCAAGTTTCGTAAACCTTTTCCCCTGCGATACAACAAAGCTGATAAGGCTATAAAATTATGGGTAGGTACTCCCCCATGTCCCTCATGTCCAATGCGTATGAAATTTTCCTGCAAGTGACTCACATACAGGCGAAGCAATTGATTTTGTTGCCCCGAAAGCATTTGTCAAACAATAATTTTGATAACAATGGTATTGCCATTTCCCAAGTGGTATTTTTATATCAAACTCTACTTCGTTTGCTGATAAGCAGATAAGGAATGTTGCAAAATTAATTTTCTTGTTCGCGAATATTTAAAATTTAAATATTTATTTCAAAATCAGAAGGAATGTATTTATTCTGAATATAAATTATAACTTTTACAAGTTATTTCTTTTGAAATTGTTTTGTTGTTTGGCAGACATTTATAGTTTTGCGCGCTATCTTTAACATTGAATTAACTGGCAAGTTAACATTAACATTGTACATACTGCCTGACAAAAGCTCTGTGCGAAAAAACTGTAAAATTGTCATTCTGACTAAAGCTTTCTGGCATGAAACTGGGTGCTTTGCAGCCTGTTTGGAGCAATAACGTTTGCACTTGGACATACACACCATTTCATTTTTTCTATTTTTATTTAATTTGTTTCAAAATGGGAATAAAATCTTTTAAAAAATATATATACAAGAATACGTATTCTTGACTTCTTATCCTGTTACAGCCAACTATATATCCATCTATCTAGTATGCACAAATGTATCTACCCTTGATCCATCGGAATCTAATTGGTCATATCAATATACATATGTACATATATACATAAGTATGCACAACAATAAATAAACAACATAAGAACAGCTCAACTAATTATTTAGAATCAAAATTAAATTGCTAAAATATGGAAATACTCACTTGATAGCTTGTCCACACTCTCGAAACGCTGCTCCACCTTCGAGCGCAGCGAATCCAAGTCAAATGGAGCCGCCAGGCCATGATCCACGCTACGTGATTTGCTCCTGTAAATCGTCACGAGGTTCAAGGTGCGGAGAGAATAGAGAGAGAGAGAGGGGAAGAAGATAATGGTTGTAGAATGAATTGGGGAACATTCATATCATAGTCCGATCGCAACCGATTGGCGGCAATCTGTTGCGATCTTTATCACTTACAAATTTTTCAGCTCGCAATTGTGGCCATAACCGGCTAATAACAATTTATTTATTGGGTTCTCGTTTGGTTTTTAGCTGTAGTTTTTTCCCCCCTCTTGTTTTTGTTTGTTTGCGCTTTGCGCTGTTCGTATTACGTATTTTGTTATCGTTTTGTAAAGTTTATCTTGACAATCAGCCAGGTGCCCGAATAAGGCAAACGACGCATTTTTAAATGTTTTTTCCACAAACGATTTCAACTCAAATTCAGCCTTTAAATGCCTGGGGACGGGGACTGTCACGACTCTCGACAGAACTATTCGAGTACGAGATGTGGTTTGTCCTTAAAGTGTTTCTCTAAATGTGTGCTAGTTGATAGGAATCTCTCATGGAAAGGTACACACGAGTTGGTGGGGGATAAACGATTTCCATGGGATAATTGCTGCATTGATAAACTCTTGGATGCTACAAACTTTAGTCAAAAGTTAAGGGTAATCTCTACTCTACTACTATTTCTCCCACATAAAGTAGGTTATGCTCTTCCAATCTTTCGTTATTCATAATATACTAGTACCTATCATTCGAGTATCTGTCGCACTCTCAGCCAAAAAACGAGAGAGTAAATCTTCAAATGGAACGTGAGCCGTGCCCATTTCGCCTGCTGGAGGACTGCGGCGGTGCCTTCACCATGGGAGCCTTGGCCAGTGGGTTCTTTCAGGCAATCAAGGGCTTTCGCGATGCCCCGTCGGGCCTGGACTATCGTCTGGCAGGGAGTATGGCCGCAGTACGCGCTCGTTCCGGACGGGTGGGTGGCCGCTTTGCTTTGTATGCCGCCGCCTTTAGTAGCATTGATTGCGCTCTGGTCTACTGCCGTAAGCGTGAGGATGCCTGGAACTCGGTCATTAGTGGAGCGGCCACTGGAGCGATACTTGCGGCTAGACAAGGTTTGATTGTCCCTTCTTCTGCTTTAGGAATTTTCTGATACCCCTTTTCGCAAGGTCTCAATGGTATGATGGGCAGCGCTTTGGTTTATGGCATTATCATGGGTCTAATAGAGGGGACTAACATTCTTATGGGTCAACATTCGGCAGGCAAATTTCAGCCCACGCCCAAGCCACTGGATCGCACAAATGAAATTCCGCAGCAGAAGAAAACCTTTTCCGATTTGTATACTAGTTTTACAGAGGTAGGTTCCGCTTGAATATAATCTCTATATAATATCCTCCCACTATCTTCCAGGGAAATCCTTCATCGGTTTAAAAATATGTATGTAAATACACTTCTGCGTCATCCGTCGATCCCTCGGATCCTCGATCAATAGTTCGATTCTTGCATACAAATTTGTGTTTTAGATTCTTTTGATTGCTCGTTTCAGTTTCAATTAAAATTCAATTGTCGTGCATCGCAAGTCTTAGAATCTTGAATATATTATTCGTTTGTGTATTGTTTTTGCTTCGCGCATGCCTCAGCTCAGAGACATATTTCTCTAAAAATGTATATGGCCACAGACGATGGCTAGTGACGATATCGGAGGCGCGTGTGTGCTTCCTAGCTTCCATACTTGTAATTCCATAACGAACCGAACACTCCCCCAGTCCCCTTCCTAGATCGACCCCCCCGACTCTCCCCCGTCGACAGCAGTTATCTACAAACTTGGCAAAGTGAGAATTATTTGACTACCGCCCGCCTTTGATTTACGTGTACGAGTATATGGCACAGCCAAAGCCAAAGCCAAAGTCAAAGCCAATTTGCTCAGCTATTTTAATACAATTCCTGGACGGAGATTCAAGCAAGTACAGTGGGGCTTTGGCATCGCCCATGTTTAAAAAAATGTCTGCCAAAGGAAGTACTTCGATTCCTTTTGCTGGAATATATTCTGCAACACTTTCTGGTTCGTTTGTGTCATTTGATGATTGACAAAACTAATTTCCGTTGCCACACCCAAAGGAAATGCTCTCACATGTGCAAGTTTTCCATCTGCCAAAGTTGGTTGCTAGAAATTGAATCAATTGATTGACAGATGCTCCAACGATGGAGCATTGAATGGCAGACAACCATGTGGGAATATTTAAAAGAAATTCCTGTGTGTTTCTTTAAATGCTTTGACGGCTTTCTTCCACCAGATATATTTGCGCGTGTCTGTTCAGTGCGTTGCCAATTAGCGAGCAAACTGCGATAACCATTATTGAATATCAATGATAAAAACAGATAAAAAACACGAATGTGTGCGTGGATTGCTTATGCCACGGCAACTGGCATCAGGAGGCGCATGCAAAGTGCTCTTTTGTCTCAAAGATAAACAACAAATAATTGGGGAAATAATAAATAATTATTAAACGAATATTTGCCGCACAATTTTCGTATTTGTTTTATCCTTTGATAGAACATAAATAACTTTCCATGGGGCCATCGTGGCGGTGAGTATATGGAGTCCATAATTGACCCCAGTCCAGTTTTGAATATTTTTTCACGATCTTTCAACACACCCAATCCTGATTCATCCCATCTCTGAGACAGGCCATCGGACCTTGCCGTGAAATTTCCAGTGAAGAACCTTTGGCAAAAACAAAGTCTAGCAGAAACAACTGTGTTTGATTTTGAAGTTGGCAACATTTGACGACGCAACGCAACGCGAGACGAGCCGATGCCTGCTGGAGCTCAAGTAATATTTATTCTGCTTTTCATGGAATTTAATTTATAATTTATTGAGTTCAGGCAGCAGTGGAGCGGAATCTCGTTTGCACAGTTGGTTTTGGCTTAAATGGAATGGAATTTCGCCTGTTGTTCCTCAAGTAAACATGAATAATTCTACGATATATGACATAAATATTATTTCTGTGGCAGGTTGTATTTACTTTTCGCATATTTCTGTCTTTGGTTGTCATGGGAGCACAAGCAGCAGCAGGAGGAGGTCAACAACAAGTCGCGACACTATTCTATTTTATTCAGAGAATATTTGATGGAATTAGTTGCTCCTAAAAGCTTTCCCACCTCGCTTAATCTTGCCATCTTTTTTTGAGGATTATCTTGGCATCCAATGCCATTTCCTAGACCTCATGTTATACTGTAATACTCATGCACCCAGCAATAATTATCGGCAGTAATAACCACAACTAATCGGTAGATAGCCCAAAACAACTTATTTTCCTAACGACTACGAGTTAGACACGCTTCCGCATAAACCCGTTGGTCACACCAAATATTTACTACAAAATATACTCGATTGAAAGATGTAAAACCCGCTTGTGGGAACCTCTATCTCAGTCATAAAAAGCACTCCGAGTGCAATAGTATTTTACCCTCCAATGGGTTCCGCATCGTAAGTGGTAGTAGCTACAGTTTCGGATATGAAGCAGAAGCACAAGTCATTCAGGGCACGATCCCTCCCTTGTACCACTCATAGTTTTAGTTACACATATATCTTATCACTCCTGTAGTGTTTGCTGTCGATAAGTTGGCCCTGGGCTGCGATCAGTGGCAGCCACAGTAGGAGCCGTGCCGCCAAAGTTGTTGCCTTACTGACACCATTCCGCCCCGAGCCAAATGTCAACAACCCATGAGGGCTTCGCCTCAAGTACTCGGTGCTGTTTCGGTTATGGTTGAATACCCTTGAAGAAGGGTACTACGATTAAGCGAAGAAGGTTGCAACAGTGCGAGGGAACCCTGAATATTCCACTCCAATAATTAAGTATCCGTTCGTATTATTCTTCCATATTTTATTTATCTGCCATTTTTTCACAATAATCTTCTTTAGAAACGGTCGCTCTTCAAGTGTATCTGTATCTTCTGCTAGCCAATTCCGAACTTTATTTATTGTTTTCATTGATTCATAGACAGCTCGAGTTTGAACTTAAGCCCATGACTCAGTGGGACTTGGACTTGTACGCAATGCGAGACGCACAAAAACATCAATTATTGAGTCTGAGTGCAATTGTGAAATTGATAATGGAAGTGCTTCTTTTACAGCTGCTGCGGTTAATGATTTGTAATAAATACCCAAATGAGTCATGGCAAATCGAGACTCGAGACTCGAGACTCTGGCCGCCTCCGCCTTGAGGTAGGTTTCTGATCTGTTTATTTGGCATTGACTTTGGTTCAAAGTCAGCGTCAGCGCCAGTGTGGGGTACGAGTATGTTCGATCGAATGGAATGACCAGCAAAGCCTGGTCAGTCCAAAACTGGTGTTCTAATCATATCTGAACCTTTCTGAAATTGTTATAGAGATTATGGCATAATCTCTTTGGTGGGATTAAAGGTTAAAGGTTTGAAATATAAGCTGGTGCTTTCTGGTTTTTAAATGAAGTCCATTCAGTGAATAAGGGATATCCCTTCCGTCACGCTTCTGCTTGAAGAGTCCGTTGAACCCTTGGTGGCTTCCCCATAAATCTTTGCAACACTTCTCAATTTCTTTCTATTGAAATGGTTTTTCCTGCAAAATCATTAAATACCTTATCGAATCACCGTTTCTCCCGTAAACACTTCAAAGTTCTACCTGTGTCCGTTCTATCTTTCAACATCAATTAAATATCAGCAATTTATTTATACTTATAGGCGCCTTCATCGGGGAATTGTAAATTATCAAAATTCGTTAATAAGACGACAGCGAACATTAAGATTATCTATGAATTATCTGACTCTGAGTCCAAGTGTAATTTGAACACTAGCCTCACTCTCCCACTCTATAAATGATCAATATTTGTCGTTCCTTTCGACTGGATTATTTATTAAGGTAATATTTGGAGCATACTGCATTTAGTATGTAGTAATTCATTCGATCGTAAGTTGTTTAAATGTTCAACGGTTATGGCTCACAATTGGCTGAAAAGTTTGCTTCAAAAATATGTTGTAAAGTTATTGATCAAATATATGTTTGTATATTGAATAAAATGTGTGTGAGAGCATGCTATTAATAAGAGTGCTATTAGGTCAGGCCATGCAACAATCAACAGAGATACATATTAATTATATATATATATAGGATAATTATAATTATTGTACATATGTCAGGCAGAGTTGCATTCAAAATTGAAGGGGTTTCCTCTATGGCGCTGCCTCATTTGCATTGGTTTATGTGTGTGCATATGTATGGGTGGGTGTGTATGTGTGTGTCTCCATGTCGAATTGTTAGTTGGAACTTACCTGCGAACGGGTATCGCCAAATTGTCAACACTGCGTGACAAACTGGAAACATCTTGACTAGCCCTACGTGACCTGGCACATCAGGAGCCAATTAAATGTGAAAATTGTGCCAAAAAACAATACGGGAAATAATGGAAAAGATAAGAAAAGAAAAACGGGGGGGTGGAGAAAATCATAAAGTAAATTAAAAGCTAATTACGAAATGGAAAAATCGAAATATAATCGTTTATCTGGGTTTAACAAACGCCAATTTGTGGAATGCACACGTAGTAGAGGGACGGGACCCATCCCTTCGTAACCCACTGAAAATCCACTATCGGGGATCTCTTTATATATGTGTAAGATATAACTACTATTTAGTATTCGCACATGGGGTCATGCTGACTTTGAGTGCTAATTGCTATAGAAATGTCACGTTCCTTGAAAAACGGAAGGCAAATGGCAGATTAGCGTAATGGAACTATAAATTAAAAATATTTATTTCTGCCTTTGGAACAAATGGAATAATATTTTGCATCTAAAAATATCCGATATAGACCTAAAACATTACTGGAACTCTCACTTTCACTTTAAATAGTTTTGTTTGTTAAATGTGTACTAGGAGGATATATTTATTCAAATTGTAACCAATGATAACTACCATATTTGGCAATCACTTTACCAATTTTGATTGCAAAATACTTTAACCTATCAAACACCAAGCCATTTTATGGTCCCTCATTTATATGTTTCAAGTGGCACAGAAAAATTCCCCTCAAGTGTACGCAAAACGCAGGATAGTACTAGAGCAAAACATTTGAGATACAATCCATGGAGCCAGAACCATATGTTTATCTTAATTTGGGGGCAATTTTCGGGAAGAGTCATATATACGTCCAATATCTACGGAATATCGCACGCACGAGACTATCATATAACCGTACTCGTAGAGAAGTGTGTGAATGTGTAGAAGTTGTCGAAGAAATTTATGGAATGATATATGGGAGAGGTTTTGACGCTCTATATGGGTCAAGGGAATGGCGCGACCGATATTGAAAAATATTTCGTGGAATTATTAGTGGAAAACTTTTAAAAGTTCAATAAAAACTTTTCTCAAAATTGTATTCAAATATTTCCCATAAATATATAAGTTTTATGAGGTTTAACTGAGCTTCAATGCGTGAAGTATATTTTCTAATTATTTAATTTTGTTAGTTCCATTCTTTTGTATTCGTTAATATAACTTTGGTTAATAACCACCGAATATACATATGTACATAGTGAAAATTATCTTGTCAGCATAGAAAATATTTTAAATAAAAAAAGAATTCGTAAACAGTCAGAAAACTGCATTTTTTATGATAGACATTCCACCTTTATGCTGGTTATAAATTTAATTTAATATTTAATATTATTATAATATTAATATTTTCAATAATTTATTTGATTTTATGTATTTTGCTTGCAGTGAAAGTTATTGTCTTTTGCTTTTGAGTTTTATTGTGCATTTTTGTTGGATTTTTGTTTGACATTGACCCAAAAATGCCCGGAACGGCAAGTCAATGAACAAACAAAAGAAGAAAGAAACGGAGAGACGAGAAGGGAAGGAGAGGGAGCAGAGGTCGCGGCTGCCTACGTGCGTGGGATCATGCGTGGTGTGATCATACTTCATGGACTGTAATGCTCAAAATGATTGTGTTTTATAGATGTGGAAGCTAAGCTTCTATTCTGGGTTTATGTTTGAACTAAGCTTTAAAGTTTAAAGAGTTATTATATTCGTCCATTGTTCAGAAGTAAACCTTAAATTTACACCCCATTTGACCCCATTCCAGAGCTAAGCACCCAAGTTTCTATAGGTCCGCGATATACGTATGTACATACTGTAGTACATTTCCCAAAAGTCGGCTGACAAAAACGTTCAGCATCTAATCGTTGTTCGAGTATATTTTTAACGATCGCCCCCATAAAGATACAAATGAAAATGGCCAAAAATTTGTGTTACCAAGACCATAAAAAAACAGAACGTATGTGTAGCAATGCGAAATAAAGTCTTGAGAGTTTATAATTTAAGTGAATTGTTCCAGAAGTTGGCTTACCAATAATATTGCGAGGTAATTACAACGTTTTGCATGTTGTATTTGTTCAAAATCTTAATAAATAAATTGTTTTTTCGCTACTTTCATTGCACAAAACTGTAACTGAAAGATACACCTTTTATTAGACTCATTTCACGCTGAAAGGTACACTCAAATGAAATGCAATTTCTTGGATAACAAATCCTTATTATAGACAGCACCAAGAGAAGGAAATTGATGCGTGTTTAGGCCGATCAATCATCAGCCCCCCCACACTCCCCTTCCCTGAGGACGGGGTGACAGATGAGGAATCGAAGTAAAACAAGCAAAAAGATAAACTCATTCGATGCCGACACTCTGTTGACTTTTAATGATTCAATTTGGCTGTCATTTGGCGGTAGTTTTCGTGTGGGAAATATTGATGACAAAATTAATTGACTTGTCAGAGTAGGCCCCACGGGAGGAGCCGCCTCCCCCAGTAGCTGGGAAATACAAAAAAAAAACGAGCCTCAGAGTAATTTCTTATCAAAAGACACAGAGAGAGAGAGACATAAAGACTGCAGCACTTGTCTCCCGTGGCATCACGTGTCTTCTTTTAGTACTGTAAAGATATTCATTTCGTCTTTGATTCCCTGGCTTTTTGATAATAAAATTATTTAAATTTGGTCGCTTCTCTCCTGTGCTTCTTTCCCAGCTCATAATTAGAATTTTTATACCGCAGTGTTATCTTTTGTTTGCGTGGCCTTTCGCTTGGGCAAAATGTGGGCAAAATGTTGTTTGTATTTGCTCGTCGCTGTGACTCTGGCTGCCGCTGCCAACTTAACGACAAAAGAAAAAGGTTAATTGGATTTTTGGACGCTTTGGCTAGAGAGCGAAATGTGTGCCATGCCACACAGTCAACGGAGGAGTGCACGTGATGTTTTAGTGGATCACATTACACATAGGAGTTATTCTATCTGAAGTACATACATATCTTTGACCATCTATCGTATTTACCTAACCATCCCATCCATTCCTATATCTATTGAAATAATTTTCATATTACTCATTCATTCCCTTCATATTAATTTAACTTCTTTTGAAATGTCTTTAATCGTTCGTTCCATCTTCCTTTTGTTTTTATGCTCATTGACTGAACAAACATTCACTCAAAATATTCATTAAACCCCCCCGGGGGCAAGGTCATTCATTATTCAATCTACACTTGAAATTAATCCTACCTCAAAACCCGCAGCGAGAAAAATCAACAGCTTGGAGCACAAATTTGGGTTAAGGTTAGAGAAAGAAAGAGGTAGCCCCCATCCATCCATTCGCACTACTTTTACCTGCTCTGCTGCTACCTGGTGCTATCATTAATATTATCTTGATACATGCATACATATGCACGTAAGTGCGTGTGTATATCTTTGGTAAATATTTAAATTCTCTCTAACAGTCCTCTTAGTCATGGAAATTGTCGCACGTTTATTATAAATACAATACAACAATCTTTCGGAACAAATAATCGATTTTTCATGTGACTTTTTGTAATGTCTCTTTAGGCCGTGAGATCTCAAATGAACATATCATCAGCCCT